AGAGAGAGAGAGAGAGAGAGAGAGAGAGAGAGAGAGATGGGGGAGAGTATGGCGTCCCGCAGAGTAAGGTGTGTGTTTGTGTGTGTCTGTATAGCCCCACCATCATCACCATATAGTCACCATCCGGGAAGTGCAAGCGGCGATTTTGATACGGAGTCTCTGCGTAGCAAACGTTATACATAGTAGCGGCGCGCGGACACGGACACGCAAACGCACGCACACACACGCACGCGCGCGCACACACACACACACACAGCGGCTCTCGCGGTCGCTCCCGGGCGGCCCTATGGCCCCGGATGCACATGTGTGGGGCTTATAGGCCCGCGTTGCTCTGCCCCGCGCGCCAGACGCCCCGCCGCCGTATTTTTGGTATGTCTAAACTTGGCTTTGCCCGGCGCCCCGCCCCGCCCCATCGTGCCCCGCCGCGCCCCACCGCGCCCCACCGCGCCCGTCTCGGTGCCTGCACCTGACAGGGGAAGGCGCCGGGTGCATTGCACCGCCCCGCCCCGCCCGGACGCCGGAAACGCAATAGGACCAGAGCGGAGCAGCGCATGTCTGAGCAATACGCTCCGGCATCCCGACATCGCCGTAGTCCTGCTGGAGGGCGGCGGGAGGAGCAGCCGCCCGGCGCTTCACTTGCTTTTGTGAGCGGCCCTGTTTAATTTGTACGTCGCACCCGCTCCGTTCAGTTTCTAAATGCCTTGCTTGTGGGAGGAGGAGGAGGTTGGAGGATGAAGGATGGGGTGAGAGTTGTGATGAGGTGGTCCTTCCCCCTCGGACACCCTTGGGCTGATTGTCCACACAAAATATGACCTCCCTCTCTCTCCTCCCCGCCCCGCCCCCCGCAGGCAGCGCGCGCGCGCCGTACGAGCACTGAGCCAGCTGCCCTCCTATCCTCAAATTGTGGGTGTAGTAGCCTTTCTTTTCCTCACGGCCGAGATGATCGTGTGATGTCCGTGTGCCCCGGGTGTGCCCCCCTCCCCGGCCGCCACGTCAATGTTGATTGAGTCTGCTCCGAGTTCCTCATAACTCTTGACTCCGGGCCGCCCTCTCCTCCCCCTCGAGTCCCTTGTGCTGGCCGGCGGGGCGGGGCGGCCCTAAGCCGCATCCCGCGCGCAGCCCCGCACGGGGCCTAGAGTGGCCCCGCCGGCCGCGCCCGTGAGCGACCCTGCTGTGGTGCTCTCGCGCTCTGTGAGCGAGATTTCGATGACCCGCCGCAGATTTACCGGAAGGTCACGAATTGAGAAATCACGATGAGTATGTATATAAGAGCTCTGCCCCCCCCCCCTTCCAACCTCCTCCCCTTCGGAACAGTTCTGCTCATTGCGGCGGGAGGCGGTGGGAACGACGTGAAGAGCATGGAGCTGGAGAGGCCTTTGCGCGGAGATATCTCCCGCACATTGGGGTCATGCACACAATAATTGTAAAGTAGGCGACTGTGGATTTAGCGGCGATGATATGCCCGGTGCTCAAAGTCGCAATAACGGACTACATCAATCATTCGACATATTTTCGAAGTCACGTCGTCACACATTAGAAGTCACACTTCTCCTGCAATAACTACCCAGAAAACCGTCAATTTCGGTAAAAGAATTTTTGTTGACTTTCAGCAAAACTTTCGTGCCAGAAAATTTTCGTTCAGATGACGAAAAATGCATGCACTTTAAGAAAGACGGAAGTTTTGTCAAATTAAACAAATTTTGTTTGAGCTGAAGAAAATCTGTCTTCGTTTCAACGAAAACTTTGTAGAAGTCGTGATTTCCATTCCAACAAAGAAGCGGTTTCCTGAGCGTGGACCGCGAATCTCTGGAATGTTTGATAGTCTCGAGGCCTGCTGCCTCTAACGTCAGTGTCGGCGTGCTCCGGCGTCCTCTGTACTCACGCTCTGTGCTCGTGCAAGTGTAGTGCTCGCACCCGCGTGCACGTTTGGGCAGCTGGCTGAGGCTCGCTGACGGGACGGGGCGGACGGGACGAGCCTTCACATGAATTTCCGAGACTCATCTCCGCCGCGTCGAACGGCGCTATTTAATTTGCAGACACGCCTCGCGCGCCGCTCTGAATCATTCCGCGACTACACCGCCAGAAACGCGCCGGCGTCGTTGCGCCGTTGCGCAATGTGTATGAGCGCATGTATAACAACAGGTGTTTTATGTGTTAATCGGAGCGTGACAGTGTGTCACGTTTTTGACCCGAAGCAGCGCGGCGGCGGCGGGGCTTACAGCACACCCTGTCTTTTGTTAATTAGAGGGGAGAGGGGGGAAAGAGGAGGAGGCAAGAGCATTATTGAGAGAAAGGGGGGTGGTTGGAGGAGGCAGTATGGTGCTTGGAAAGGCGAAGGCCTGCGGGCCATTTTTATCGTGCGCGCTTACGAGGGACGTCCCACTGCCACGTGGCCTAATTTGTGGGTGTGAGATGACCACTCGAAAGTCGGACACTTGTGTGGCGTATACTTTATATATAAATGCTCTCTCGCTTCGTGCCCCATTTGCCCGCGCAGCCTGCTTCTCGACCCGAGAAATGCGCACCCCGACCTCGCGTCGTCGACTCCCGCTCGCGCCGAATCAGCTGCAGGTGTATTGTCGAGATTATGGCGTTAAATCTTCCTAATTTCAACCTTTACGAGCAGGGTGACAGTACTGTTGCGACGCGTCCAAAAACTCCCCCGTGTTTCACGTCGCATCCTCATCATCGGTATTGCATCCATCCTGACTCACTGCCGCCTCGGTCCGGCTCGGCGCGGAGCCCTTGGCCCTCCTCCGCTTTGATAGGTTCATCCAATGAGCGAGCATTGAGAGTCTTTGGGAGTGGGAGGGAGGGGGGAGCGGCGGGGCTAAAGAGGCGTCGAAGCCCTCGTGATTGACAAAGGACGAGGTGACCCTGTGGGGCGCCCCACCATGGTGCACGGGGGCGAAGGGCACAAGCAGAGAAAGTTAGTGGAATCCCAATCCCGATGCGGTGTCATCCCCGTGAATGCCCCCCGTGAGCGCCCCCAGCACCATTAATTGCATCGTAATTGGACAATCGACGCCCCCCCCCCTTCCGCTTCTCCCCCGAGCTGCCCGCCTCGAGGAAATAAAAATGACTTGTCAACTTTGACACGTCACGTCTCGCGCGTCCCCGGCGACGACGGAACCAACCGCGACACCGTGATGTCGGTTGCGTCAGTAACGTGTGTCCGGCGTGTGCGGCTCCAAACTACTATACTTATTGCTAATGATGGAATGATGGCCGTCTGTGAAAGACTTTCGCCAAGTTTCTATAAAGAGGAGCTGCTGAGGATCAGGCCGTTTGAGCCTTTTTTATTGTCAAACTCAATATAAAAGAGGAGGTTGTAAAAGCAGTAAAAGCCCCCCGTCCACTGTCTGTTCTGACTGATGCTCGTACCGCACGCCACACACGCAGGTGGGTTGCCTACTCGCACGGCGCCCTGGCCTGAGACGGTAGGCAATGTTTGAATGACACCCGGCACACGTCTGTTTGTAGGCATGACACGCGACTTCAAAAAGTGCGCATAGTTTTAAGGTTTTTACAGTTTTAAATCGCTGCTTTTCACGCTTCGCCCAGACTTAGACCCGGATG